TGGTTGTGTCTGGTGCTGCAGTGTTCTTATTGGGTAAAACGCCTTTAAATCTAGTGGCTGAGCACCTAAAAGACAAGCTATTGATGATATAATATGCAAAAAACGCCACCAAACGTTATTAACGCCACCGCACGTATTTTACTTGAGCGCGCGTTTTTTACGTCACCGCGCGTTCTGGCTGGAAACGCGCGGTGACGTAAAAAACGCGCGCTCGCGTAAAATACGGGTTGGAACCGCGCGTTATTGTACGGACGATTATTGGTCCTTTCGGCTTGCCATAGCTGTGTCTCGCGAGAGCGCGTTTGTGTTCTTGAAGCAGCAGATTCAAGAAGCTGTAATGGCTAAATTGAGGTTGTAATGCAAGATTAACATATGCAAAAAAATAATAATTACAAATAAACTATCAATAATCATTTGTCAGCTGTAATTTTATTTGTGTAAAACTATATGAACACACCAGTAAATAGTTTTTTTGTGCATTCACATTTAAATCAGATTTGAGTGAAAATCCTCTTCAGGTGAAGATTGGACTGACAAGTGTAATTTTTTTTTTACATGTTCTTGCCTGATATGTCTTTTAGTGCAACTTCAAATTCAGTTTGTGTGTGTGCGGTTTTTCTTTACAGCAGAACATTTTGGCATACAAGTTCAGATTTTTGTGGTACAAATTCTCACATTGCATTCTCAAGTTTTCACATTAAATTCACAAGTTTGTTCATTTTGGCACATATTTACCTTCATAGTAGTTCACCCAGGGCGCCCAATGGACTAGGGCCGCCCCTGATCATTGGATCATTTACCTTCATAAACTACCCACCTGCCAAGCCCCTCTTCATCAAGGAACATCATAAAAAAAATTGTGATTCTAAACCACTTTAAAGTACAGTATCAATTTACTGTCACCGTATTGTTACTTAAGGACAATATTACTAAGTACAAAATAAGTAAATCTGAGTCACTTTGGTTTAAAGTAAGTGAAAAATATTTTGCCATACAAAAGTGCAACTGATCCACTGTCACGATTTGTTTGGAGGTTTTTATGAGGACCCAAATGCAGAGGCTGACAAGCAGGGGTGAGTTCTTAAAAGGTTTAATGAAGATCAGGCAGCAAAAACAGGAATCCAAAAATCCAACTTGAAAGTGTTAAACAAAAACAGGTATCCAAAAAATCCAACATAAAAATCAAACACAAACCAGAAGCATGGAGACATCAGGGGAAAACCATCAAGGAGCCAGGGTGAGAAAAGGTAAGACGAGGAACCAGCAAACAGGGACTGCAGAGGGAGTGAATTTATGGCTGACTGAACAAAGATAGGACTAATGAGCTGATAAGGAGCAGGTGTGAGTAGAGCTGATGAGGAAGCAAAGGGAAAAGAACACAACACAAACATTCACAAATTATTCATCATTGAACTCGGGTCTTTCTGTCTGTGTTACTGTATTTACAGCTAAGTAATATTGTCAAACAAGCATTATCTTATAGGTTTGAGTAAATTACACATCTTTTGTGTTTTCAATCTAACAAATATTTAGGAATCAATCAATAAATAACTTGTTATCAAATGGCTGTTTTAGATCAACCAGCCTTTTACTGATTATCTTTCTTCTGTTGGGTTTCTGTTTTCTTTGATGTTTTTCTTTTGAGTATCCAGTTTTGCTTTTCTCCTTGTCTCTTAGTTTTTATGGCCTAATTCTTAGTTTATTGTGTTCTTTGGTTTTTCTGTGTTATTGTCCGAGTCTTGGTTCTGTTTTATTTACTTTTTAGTGTTTACTTTTACTTTTCTCCATGTTTTTTTTTTAGTCTTAGTGGTTTAAATATTATTTTGTTGTATTTTCTAAGTATTGTCAGTCTTCCAGGTTTTTCATTTGTTGCCCTCTGCTGCCCTCTGGTGCTCTCCTTTTTCCCTAGCTCCGGTTTTGTTTCTGCTTCTGTGCTCACCTGTTTCCTATCTGCTCATTAGCCCTCTCTTTGTCTCTGTCTCCTTTAAAAGCTCTCTCTGTTCACTTCCTCTTTCCTGGGTCCTCATCTTACTTCATCTCACGCGCTCCAACTTCGTCTCTCTGAGCCTTCCTCCCTGAGTATTGATTCCCTGATGTCTCCATGGTTTTCTGGTTTGTTTTCTGCTTATTTTTTTTTTGGACTCCTGGGGCCTGTTTCAATAAGGAAGTTCAACCAACTCTGAGTTAAAACTTGAACTCTGAGTTGACTTATCCTGAGATTGGAAACTCTGAGTTTTGGATTTCAGAACAGCTGAAATGAGTTAGTTCAATCAACTCTAAATTGACTGACTCTTCTGAGTTAAGCGCGTGCACCACAACTATAAAAAGCCATTATCAATGGAGCACAGATATTACGAGTCACTATGGCAACAGCGTCAGACAAAAAAAGGTGTGCATATTTCTCACCAGCAGAACTGGATGTGTTTATGCAAGCATATGCAGAATTTGAACATGTATTTAAAAAAAAAAAAAGCAACACGGCTGCAGCGGCGAAGGAGAGAAATAGCTTGGGTGAAAATAGCTGCTAGAGTCAATGCGTAAGTTTACATTTTAATTACTTTTATACAGTGTTGGGTGTAATGAATTAAGTTACTTAAGTCATATAAATACTGTAATTAAATTAAAGACTATAAAAAATAGTGGATTTAATATCACATTTTTAAAAGGTATATTTTGATTTGAACTTTCTCCCTCTAGTTACACACTTTGGTCAATTTAAGATTAATTCATGCAATTGAATATTGTTTATTTGAAAGCATTAGAAGTGCAGTTTCTTGTCTCTCCTTGTATTGTTCAAGTGGTTGAGGTTGATTTGGGATTTAGAAAGTAATTAATAAGTAAGGAAAAACAAATTAGTAAGTAGACCAATACTTTCTAGAGACAGTAATTATTACATTAATCTAATTAGACTTGTTGAAGATAAAATTTGTAGTTAGTAATTAAGAACCATTTTAGAGTAACTTACCCAACTGTTATAATATCAGAGGTGAAACTGGAAGAACAGTATTTTATTAAACCTAATTTAGTTTTCATGGATAGGTGCAATCCTGCAGGCATCAAAAGAACATGGCAGCAGCTGAAAATGAAATATAAAAACATACTTCAAGCAGGTAAGCCTTGAGCACATCATGGGAGTAGAGTAGCTACCTGGCTTTACAAACAGGATCATCCATAAAAGGATATGCCATTTCATTCCCTTTGATGCGCTCTACGTGACTGAAATGTGTGCAATGAATACTGTATGTCCCCAAAGAATCAATGAGGAGTTTAAACACCACTTCCTCTTTAAAAAAGGGGAGGAGACCAAAATAAACTCTGGATTTTCTGAAGAAAACCTGCTCCCGACCAGGTTAGGTTCACAGAGTAAATTGCCATGGTAACTGACTCTGAGTATAAGTTACCTCTCTTTCAGAAACGGGCTTGACTTACTCTGCTTTCTCAGGTTTAACTTACCTCCCTTTCTGAAACAGAAAACCCAGAGTTTCCCTCATTTCAGGGTTAACAAACTCAGAGTTTTCACTTAACCTCCTTTCTGAAACAGGCCCCTGGTTTCTTGTTTGTTTTCTTTTTTGGATTCTTGGTTACCTGTTTGTTTGGACTTTGTTTTTTCAGTTACTCTTCATTAAATCATCCATATATTCACCTCTGCCCCCCTGCCTCTGCTTTTGGGTCCTCAACCCACCAACAAATCCAGACATCTTTTTTCCTTTTTTCTCTCCATCGTCACACCTGAATGACATGGACTGTTAAATATAACAGCCTTAATGCATTCTGGTCAGTGTCAGAATGATGATATCAAGCAGCCTAAGAAGACTAAAGCATACGTTTTGAAATGCAGTATAGTCCCATATGAAAATAATTACACATTTCTAGACTTACATATTTTAAGTTACATTTATTACAGCCATTAAAAAAAATAAACCTGTAACTTGTATGGTTTAAGAACTAAAGCAGCAGATATAAACATGGAATTTGAATTCAAATTATAATTTGTATGGATTTGGAAACTATATCTGATGAGATTTATCTGGTTCATCACAGCAGCACTGTAGTGAGATATAAGGATTAGAGTATGCACATTTTGATTTGTAAAGAGCACCGTTTGGCTCTGCTGTGATATACATAAATGATACTCAAGGTTTACAATAAGATGCCTACTAATTTTTGAAAATATAATTAAAGGAAATCTATCTATACAGTCTATAGACTTCTCAAAAGTTATTAAGAATGCTTTATCTAAAATACTATCTTTAAAGTGTCAATGGTTTAGAAATAAAAACAAAAGAATATGGGATTAAATAATTATCTAAATTATGCTATTTCTGTATCAGTGAATCAATCTGCTATTATTTCATAAAAATGAAAAATGGAAACAGAAAGGAGATCATGGCTTGTCTACAGAGAAAAAGAAGACTGGGTTATTTATTTTTGCTGTCAACTTTTTGTAAATACTGGAAGGGGCAATCAGCTAAGTTAGAATGGGCTTAGTGATTGGAAAAAATCTTTGATTAAAAGTCAGCTGAGCACATTGCCAATATGAAAAGAGAGGAAAACAGCAAGAAAAGGGATAAGAAGAGAGGGAATAAAGGTAGAACAAATAATGTATGTATATTTTCATAATGAGATTAATTTGGAGACAGGTGGATTAGATTTAACGATTACATGGACATAACTGGTTTTATTTTAACACTTGAAATAAATAAGGGGCATTTTCCAATTCATTTCATATAAACTGGATGTCACTCCAACTTCGAAACTTCTTTTGTTTTAGTGGTGGTTCTTTCTGCTTGTGTCCTGCAGGGGGAGCTCTTCCTCTTAACATCACCACCCCTCTACTAATACATTTAAAGGTTTCTGTCTAAACGCAGTATTAAAGTGACATTTAGTGGAGCAGTTAGGAAATTGAACATTGCATTTAACTAAATCCTTAAAAACTTTTCACGTTGCATCACACATGTTTAAATTAACATACAGCAAAATAAACCGACAGAAACATCCATGTGATTTGTAAAACCGTCTGAAAAGGAGATGTGATCTTTATTCGTTCTGTTCCTCATATGAGTGTGCCTGTGTGTTTAAGTGAAGGCGCGCTGCTCAGGGCCGCATCCTCAGCATCTCATTCAGTGCGTCCTGCTGCAGCATCAGCACCAGACCATAGGTAAGAGCGGCGGCCCCTCTTCTCAAACAAATAAATCGGACTTTCATTACAGGAAATAAGACATGTCAAAGCGGAGTTTGCATGCGATAAGGTTGATTGCATGGCTGTCGGGTTGTTTCACCTGCAGAGGACAAAGTGCGCATGCAGGGGGAGCTGTGAGGTTTGCTGCAGTGCAATGACACCGCATAGGCGTAGTCCTGTCTGCATTTAGGCTGCAGGTACAGCAGTGATGCAAGGCCCAGGTTTGGGATCAAAGTATGAAAATCTGTAGGTCCGTGTGCGTTTGTCGTTTTATTGTCGCAGTTACACGATTTTATTGATCAAATGTTGCATTTGGCTGCTTGGTAACTTTCTCCTGCCATGTCCCGTGTTAAACTTTGCCTGGCAGGACAGTGGAGGTGTGATGATGGAGCTGCATCTGCTGGTCGCGGTTTGCCTCCTATTTGGCAGAATAATCATCACCCATCAAACTCACAGTATGTCATTTTTCATTGTTTATTAATATTAAATCGTATGTGTTGGGCAAGAGGATGCGACTGTTAGACACTGTAAAGCGTAATCTGTAAAATTGAAGAAAAAAAATGTTTTAGATAAAATATATTTGTGACAACAATCTGTTTGTATCACGTGAAAGCATGAAACTCAATCCAGAAATTTCATTAAGGTTATGTAATCCGCATAAATCAGATGACACAATGCTTACTCAGCAAAACAGTTAATTACAGCTTCCAGTTATGCAGCCAGTTGGAGGTTGGAGCATAATTAATATTTCCCTGTACAGCTATTTTTACTTAAAGGCACATTTTATCTCATACTTCTTCCCTTTCTTTGCTCTTCTAGCAATCATTGTCCTTTCAAACGTATCCCATGCTGACATTTTTACATTTTCTTTCATTAGAATTAATTGCAACATATTTAAGTGTATATTTTTAGGAATTTATATTATAATTTATAATTCAATCCTTTATAAGTGTTGGAAGGTTGATGTAAAAGATGAATTTGAAAACAAATCTTAAAAGTGTGGTGTGCTTTTGTTTTTAGCCCTTTCTAATTCAGTACCCCTGAAAAGAATTCAGTGGAACTAACTGTCCTTAGGGGTCGTTTATTAAGTTAATACAGTTTATATTTATCTTAAATGATATAGCTGCAGACAGTAAAGCTAATACACAATAAGTTCACACAGCTTAGCTTTATATAAGACTAGCAGAAGAAAGCCCTGTTTAAGTTGATAGCTATAAGTTTAACTCCTTCAGGTCAGTAAGTGCAGCAAACATCATTTGAATGGATGATTGCACAGAAAATTCTGCAAATACAAAAGTTAGAGTAGCAAATACAATAATGAGGCCCACACACAACCACAGCAAACACATCCATAGGGGAAATGCTGCAGGTAGCAAAACAAAAACTGTTTGAGAAAAGCTCAACTTCAGAAAACAGAAAGCAGCAATAGGGAACATGAGGCCAAAATCTGCTGCAAGTGCATAAATGACACACAACTTGCATGTTCTCCCCCAACTGCAAAACTCACACACACAAAAAATGCAGAAAGTGAAAAAAAAAAAAAAAAAGCGCTGTATAAAGGAGGAACTCCAGATCACTAGGGGAGGATGATCATCAAGTCATAATGAAACCCCTTAATGGGTGGGACATTTCAAAATGTTCTTTATAAGCAGGAGCACCATTTTATTTTTTATTTTATTTATTTACGTGTTTATTTGAACAGGGACAGTGCACATTAATAAACATTTCTGTAAATGAGCCAGTGTTAGCTAAGTAGCTAATTTTCAACTGTAGTCCCTGGGCAAGGTTTAAAATGCCAACATAATAAAACAACAACATTAAAAATTAGTGCAAACAATAAAATACATAGTTAGTAATCTACATAAAAGTTGGACATTGATCTGTAAAAAACAAAGACATTATTACAAATATAAGATTTAAAAAGCATTGACAAAGGTGCATCAGACAGGCAGATAGAAGTTATTGATTTATTTCATAAATGTCACTTAAGATTGTTCACAACTCAGTTTGTTCTGGAAGAGAAATTAACTCTTGAATAGAAAGATGACAAGGAACGTGTTAAAGAAATGCTCTGTAATGTTAATATGCAAAAAAATTTCTAATCAAGAAGAAAAGTAGAAAACTGCATAAAATTAAAGATGTCATCTGATCCTCTGGTCAATATACCCTATTACTTTACCTTATTTTTTCTATTAGTTTTTTTCTACCTCAACTTCATTTTAAGAACCTAAATAGACCAGCTTTAAAAAAGAAAAAAAAAAGAAACTGATTTCCTTTTTTTTCACCACAGGCAAATAAATATTTTCTTCTAGGGTTGTAAAAATATCAATACTCTGAAAAGTACGGATACTCAATTGCGGTATCTAGATTCAGGACTAATCTGGCATGGTGTTACCAAAGACAAGTTTTATTTGCATATTTTAACTTTTGTTGTTCTATTTCTGGGTTATTTCAGATCTTAAAAGACAAATACCTCAGAAAACTCAAAGGAATAGTACACCCAAAACATGATTAGCCTTCATTTTCTACTCACCCCCATGCTGAACAACACCCTGGAGTACTTTTTTGATATCTCAAATGCATCTGGAGATCTGGGAGGCTTCTTGCTGTCTGCTGACATTCAAATAATGGAGGTCTATGGCGCCCGAGGCAGAAAGGTCCATAAAAGTCCACAAAAAACGTTTCAATATTCCTCCATACTGCTCGTCCAATGTATTCCAAGTGTCCTGAGTGGGTAGCGTCCAGAATTTACTCGAAACGAAGTCATTTAGAATGTTTTTAGAGCATAAACAGTAGTGTATAGGATTTCCTGAAAGCGCGCGCCTGCGCGTTCACAACGCTACGGAAGCCGGCAGACCAAACCAGATGAAAGTGCGCATTCAGCGTCTGCTCTGCCGATAATGCAAGCGTAGAAGAAGAAATGTGCTGTTTACCTGTGCAAAGAAAGAAACAACGAAAGAAAAATGTCTGAGGACTTCAGTGTTGAGGAAGAGCATGAGTTCTTTGCTGACCTGAATGCGCACTTTCATCCGGTTTGGTCTGCCGCGGTTTCCGTAGCGTCGTGAACGCACTTTCAGGAAATCCTATACACTACTGTTTATGCTCTAAAAACATTCTAAATGACTTTGTTTCGAGTAAATTCTGGATGCTACCCACTCAGGACACTTGGAATACATTGGACGAGCAGTATGGAGGAATATTGAAACGTTTTTTGTGGACTTTTATGGACCTTTCTGCCTCGGGCGCCATAGACCTCCATTATTTGAATGTCAGCAGACAGCAAGAAGCCTCCCAGATCTCCAGATGCATTTGAGATATCAAAAAAGTACTCCAGAGTGTTGTTCAGCATGGGGGTGAGTAGAAAATGAAGGCTAATCATGTTTTGGGTGTACTATTCCTTTAATGTTATATTTGGTTTATTTATTTATCGTGTATTTGCATACTTATTTAACCATCATCTATTATTTTATTGAGAAAGCATTGTACATGTTTAGTTTATTAAAATTATTTAAAATATTTTTATGCCTTTAATTATTTGTTATTGTTTTATTCCCATGATATCACAAATGGTATGGATTTTCAAATACTAGGTCCAAGGTATCAACATTGAATTTGAGTTTATTGTTACAACCTTTGTTTCTGTATAAACCATTACAAATATTAAATGTTTTTCAGAAAATTTATCAGAGAAAAAACAAAACAGCTGACTCCTAAGTTGTAGTTTAATATATAATCTGGTTTGTGTTTCTTTCAGTGAGCTCAGTGTACACATATCTGTTCACGCCACAAGGGCCCCAGATGTTTACATGTTTGACGTATCTTGAACGTAATGTCCGGGTGGACTGCGAGTTCCTGGCCTCTGATCTGGTTCCTGGCCCCTACTGTGAATATCGCCAAGACAGCCGTCTGGTTGGCTCCACCTACCCCAACGCCGTCGTCTACGTGTCCACAGAGGACCGCAGGAGGAGCAACGTCAGCCTGGTGGCCCCAAACCTGTGCCGTCTGACCTGGGCCCCCATGGCTGACGAGAAGCCCTACACCTACAGCTGCAGAGTCTACCAGGGCAACAGCTGGAAGGAGAACAGCATGGCTGTTCATCACCGTGAGTTCTTCTTGCTTCCTCACCTTTTTTATCCATCTCTATGCAGTAAATTTTGTTCCATTATTGTTGCAAGCAAACAGCAGGTATTATAGATGGAAATAAGAATAAAATGCAATCCAAAAATGAGACTTAATTAATTGAGAAAAAGTTTTTGACAGGAACTTTGCTCAGATTTGAATATTTCCATGTTTTTTTCCAATTTGTTTTTCATATTTTAGGTTTTTCACCCTAAACATTTTTTACTTGAGCTTCTAGTGAAAAGAATTTGATCTGTAAAAGGCAATTTGAAAAGAATGCAATTTTTAAAACTAAACTTAATCAAAAAAAAAATCTTTTAAAAGATTAAAAAATAAAGTTTGAGAAATGGATTAAAACATAAACAGAATAAGGTCTAAAATAAAATAAAAGAAAATAAATTTAATGAGAAATTCTAGAAAACAGCAGAGTTGCTTTTTTGATTAAGTTTTTCAAAATAAATTTTTTTGTATTTCAGATTTTCAAATGTCCATTTACAAAATATCTTAATTTTTTTTGTGAATTTACATTCACAAAATTTTCTCTGTTTGCAGCAAAGATTAAACAAAATTCACTCAATATGCTTCAGCACACCTGAAAAAGCTAAACTCTGACGTTTCCCTTCTCTTACAGGGCATCTCCTAATCTGTTCTGCAATCAGTTTAATGTATAAATCAGCGGCGTGGATTTTGTCACTGGTGATGTCACTTCCTGTAGCTGTGGGTCTGCTAAATCCATGAGTTTCAGAGGAGAACAACTCAATGGACACTCCAGAATTTATTGGATGCCTCAGAGCGGAAGGCTTTTATTTATCTTGTGTAAATTAGAAAAAATAAAAGTAAATGTATTCATCAGGCGTCTCTGTCACCACTCTACCTTAAACACCAGTGTTACACAGATACAATCTGGGAGAGGAAAAGAAAAGATTTAAAGACACATAAAACTATAAATTGGTATTAATGTCTTCTGGTTATCCAATAAGTGCTTTCTGAATACAAATATTTTGGTAAAAAAGGAAATGATAATTTAGTGGTTTTGTAACTTATTTTAAAGAAAAATCAACCCCTTCTTTAAATTTTTCATTATTAGTTTTAATCTATTTTGACACATTTGTGCAGCAAATCTTTTTATTTTGTTTTTGTTTGTGCTGCTATAATCTTAAAGATGTAATAAAATTTGCAGAGGTCTCTATAGGTGGACCGTACCTTCCTAAAATCAAAATAATTGACATCAGTCAATTCGGTTGCATTAATGCTGGTTTGTGCAGTAAAGCTTTTTTGTTTGCGCCTCTTTTGGTTTATTAATGAAAGTTGAAAGATCAAAATGTCAACCACTCTTCTCACATTCCCCTTACATTAACCAAGTCCAAGAAAAATGGTGTCAAACTAGTTTCATTTGTGTAGTAAAAACTGCAGTTTGTGCTACTGTTTTAAAGATATCAAATAAAACTTTCAGAGTCGGAGTAATTTGCTACTTTCCAGGAAATCCAGCCTCTTCAGACAGTACTGTTGTCTTCCTAGCAAAGCATCTTTAGGCTATTCTTTTAAAGAGTCAGAAATTGTTTAAATTAAGTCATCTCTATGTAACATTTTTCATAAAGTCATAAATGTGTTCTGACAGCAGTAACAATATGCTCTAAAATTATAAATATTACATTTGGAACATCATATTAGCTAAGCTAATGTTAGCTTAACCGTTGTTATTGAGGAAACTGGGGTTTGAATGATGTTTATAACATAGATGTTTAAAATTAGTTTGCATCGACTTTCAAGCATTTTTCATTTTATGTCCACCATTGTGATTATGAAATTGTCAGCTGATGAAAGAGATGGCTTTTGAATAGTAAGAAGTCACAATTTAACTCTTGGAAGTTAGCCTTAAGGTGCTTTGCTAAGGTTACTAGTTATTGATGAAAAGTTTAAATGTTGTAACGTTGTCAACAACTTTAAAACAAAAGTAGTACCAAAACTCGACTCCATTTCTGCTTGATTCGGTTAGTGTCGTGTTTGTGTGTGTGTGTATGGGTTGGGGGGGGCTTTTGACCTTTGAACTTTGGTTAATAACTTTAAACTAAAAGCAGCACAAACAAAAAATTTTTGCTGCACAAACATTTGATGGGGAAACTTTCCCAGGGTTATTCATAACAGATGAATTTCAATAATAAACTGCTGACTTTGTTTCACCAGAAGTGTTTAGATATGTGTTAGTAGACCTTGGACTTGTGATTTCAAGTCAGTTCAAAGTGAAAGCGACTTATTCTCGTATGCTGCTTGTTGGCAATAATCATATCCAAGCTTGTCTGTTTAGCTGAATGCTCTGAATTTTAAATAAACACTGCCTTTGAAAGAAGAAAAAAAAGCTCAGCTGGATAGGAATGAGAATGTCTCATAAGAGCAAATTCCACAGATTGTATGGCTGCTCTTTTTTTGATTTCGTCACCATCCTGTGGGATGTCCTTTTATGTCTCAAAGTTTTTTTTCCAGCTTTCTGACATGTTAGGAAAAAGTTCTGCGAAGTGCTTTTCTTTCCTTTTGCAGAAAAACATCCCATCAGCATGGTACTGCCACCGCCATGTCTCACCATTGGGTTGATGGTATCTGAATGAAACGCTTTATTTTTAACTACACAGAGCATTTTCCATGCAGAATAAAAACAGTTCAGCTTTGGAAGTTTATAGATGCTATTTTTCTGTCGTGCATGTTAGCTGTCACCTACACGGCCAACAGGACTTCCAATTAATTTTCAACATTAGCTTCATTCTTTCAACTCTTCCATGAATGTAACTTTACTTCTTACTGTGCTCCACTTGCCAAAATATTATTCCACTTGATCTGTGAATCTCTGCAGCTCCTCCAGAGTTACATACAGCTCCCTGGCTGCTTCTCTGGCCTTTCAGGTTAAACAGAAGACCATGTTTTTGTTGGTTAAAAATTCTGACATATCCTTTAGTTCAAAGCTAAATGCTGCTCACAGCTTTATCTCTGAGTTGTCTTCTGCAGCCCTTGGTCGCCATGACGCAGCGGGTTCAACGACACTATTAGATCTTCACAGAAAAGCTAGATTTTGTCTGAGATTAAATTCCTTAACTTTCCTCTCTACCTACATATAAACTGACTCCGGATTATTGTTTGCACCGGACGTTTAAGGAGGTAGCACAGTAGAATACTTGCAGGGCACTGTAAGTGTTGATGCTTTTCCCCCATTTTACAGTAATTCAAACATAAATACTCTTTCACTGTTTGCTTTGGTCATCTCTTGTTCATGGACTCCAAAGTCAGATGAAGATGATGGAGTTTGTGAGAAGTGCTGCATGATCTTACAGAAAATATTTCAATGTTACTGAAATTCAAAGTTCATGTTACACTTCAAAGTAAATTAGAAGAAAATGGGTTTCAAAACTTCTTAATGAATAAAAAAAAAGGTTTTGAGAGTATTTTATGTGTATGTGAAAGTTCAACGTATGTTTTTACAAATTGCTGTATTCTTAGATTTTCTTTCCAGATTGTTTTTTTTTTCAAATTCAGAGGCTGAGTTTTATGAATCGTACTTCTTTCAATGATAAAAGAACATTTGTTTTTTGTTTTTTATAAGCAATCGCAAACTGTAAAAATATTGGTTGAACTTTTTCATGCACATTATAAATTACACGTATCTATTTTTATTTAGAAAATGTATATTTTTAAAATGCATTTTTTTTTTCAAATTTACCTTTTTTAAATTTATTTATTTTACATTTTGATTACTTTAAATATTATTGGATAAAATGTCTCTCCATAGCTGAGCTTTGGTGCAAACAAACTGACTAAAGTGTCGTGTTTTGCTCAGCGGTTACTCACTGTAATAATTCTACTACTTTTAAATGGAACATATTTAGCAGTATTTTAAAGTACACTAGTTCATGTGCACAGTGTGTTTGGTCTGTTATTTTTTTTATCTCCTTGGTTCCTCTGGATATGTTGCTTCCAGAATCAGAAAACCATTTTTCTTTCTTCCCTTTTTCACTAAGGACTCTGATTGTAGTTTCTCATTTTTTTAATTTTGTTTTAGTATCCAAATCAAAGATTGTCCTTATATTAGTGATTTCTGATTGTTTATCTCACCACTAGAGCTGCAATGCTGTATAACAAAACTGTTAACAATAAAGTTTATCCACTACAGTGATATTTGTGTTCTCAGTGCACAGATACACCCGTACTTCCAATGAATCACTGCTGTGAAAATCATGTTAAGATCAGAGTGAATCTTAGGGGAGAAATAACATTTCCAAATGTAAAAAAAGTAAATACATAAGAACTTGCAGACACTTTCTGTTCACATTCATTGGACAGTGATAAACAAATCTATATATATATATATATATATATATATGTATATATATATATATATATATATATGTATATATATATATATATATATATATATATATATATATGTATATATATATATATATATATATATATATATATATGTATATATATATATATATATATATATATATATATATATATATATATATATATGTATATATACATATATATACATATATAATAATTTGTTAGTTTTCCCCTTAAGTCCATTTGAAATGTTGTTTTCAATTTTTTTATATGTTGCACTGCCAAGTATCACTTTACTTGGATTTAGTTTTACATTTGCTTATATATATATAAATATATACACTCACCGGCCACTTTATTAGGTACCCCATGCTAGTAACGGGTTGGACCCCCTTTTGCCTTCAGAACTGCCTCAATTCTTCGTGGCATAGATTCAACAAGGTGCTGGAAGCATTCCTCAGGGAGTTTGGTCCATATTGACATGATGGCATCACACAGTTGCCGCAGATTTGTCGGCTGCACATCCATGATGCGAATCTCCCGTTCCACCACATCCCAAAGATGCTCTATTGGATTGAGATCTGGTGACTGTGGAGGCCATTTGAGTACAGTGAACTCATTGTCATGTTCAAGTAACCAGTCTGAGATGATTCCAGCTTTATGACATGACGCATTATCCTGCTGAAAGTAGCCATCAGAAGTTGGGTACATTGTGGTCATAAAGGGATGGACATGGTCAGCAACAATACTCAGGTAGGCTGTGGCGTTGCAACGATGCTCAATTGGTACCAAGGGGCCCAAAGAGTGCCAAGAAAATATTCCCCACACCATGACACCACCACCACCAGCCTGAACCGTTGAAACAAGGCAGGATGGATCCATGCTTTCATGTTGTAGACGCCAAATTCTGACCCTACCATCCGAATGTCGCAGCAGAAATCGAGACTCATCAGACCAGGCAACGTTTTTCCAATCATCTATTGTCCAATTTCGATGAGCTTGTGCAAATCGTAGCCTTAGTTTCCTGTTATTACCTGAAAGGAGTGGCACCCGGTGTGGTCTTCTGCTGCTGTAGCCCATCTGCCTCAAAGTTCCACGTACTGTGCGTTCAGAGATGCTCTTCTGCCCACCTTGGTTGTAACGGGTGGTTATTTGAGTCACTGTTGCTCTTCTATCAGCTCGAACCAGTCTGGCCATTCTCCTCTGACCTCTGGCATCAACAAGGCATTTCTGCCCACAGAACTGCCGCTCACTGGATGTTTTTTCTTTTTCGGACCATTCTCTGTAAACGCTAGAGATGGTTGTGCGTGAAAATCCCAGTAGATCAGCAGTTTCTGAAATACTCAGACCAGCCCTTCTGGCACCAACAATCATGCCACGTTCAAAGTCACTCAAATCACCTTTCTTCCCCATACTGATGCTCGGTTTGAACTGCAGGAGATTGTCTTGACCATGTCTACATGCCTAAATGCACTGAGTTGCCGCCATGTGATTGGCTGCTTAGAAATTAAGTGTTA